CAGGCACCAAGGAGCAAATAAATGCATACTATTAGTCAATTCCATGAAATAAAAAATAAACTGATTCAGTTACCACTTCTTCTCTAAGAAAAAGTGTATTCATATCACTGAAGTTAGGTTTATAAAATGAACAAATTTCCCAGAACATGTCCAATCTGTCATGAAGCCTTTCTCTGATGTATTGACAGGATTTAGGAACTTCTCTGCCGGTAAATAGTAAAGATGAAGACCTCTGGCTTTCTACAGTGGCATACAGGTCAGGGGAATTCAGTGCCCCAGATTCAGATGCACCAGCTGGTCTCTGTTTCCAGCAGCTGAATAGGTAAAGATAGATTATATGTTGATTGTATTTCAGTGCTTTTAAATGTTTTATTATCTTTGAGGGAAAAAACGCGCTTTGAAATAGTGATTTTTCCATGTGAATTTTTAATAAATATATATTTTCTTAGGGAATGTGAGAGTTTAATGATTTATTATATATATAAAACAAACACACACACACATATATATATATAATGATATCATTGAAACCTTGTGCTGATGTTTGAGATTATGTGCAGAAAACAGATCAAGCTTATACTTGTCTTGCTGCAGCTCTCCTCAGTCCCAAAAACGTGACTGGTTTTTCATCTGTTGAAAAATAAAACTGAAACAGATGCTTGCAGCCGTGCGTGGTGTGGAAATCAGAATTGTGTTTATCCTCCTGCTATATTGTTCATTTTGCTGGGCTGTTGTGTTTGCAAATGGGCTTAAATATATAAAACTAGTGTGTTTAAGCACTAGTTAAGTAATATCCATACTAATGAACAGATTTGGCAGCTGGAACCTATGTATAGTGGGCTCTATGAACACAGGGCCATCGGCAAATGTGATATTCTATACTATCTTATATAAATTATTTTGATAAGTTTATCAGAAAGGATAAACAGAACTTTAAAATATTAGACTTAATAAAGAGAATATTATCAAATATGATCGAGTGTGGCAGTTCTTTTTTCTGATTGATTAATCAATATTTAGATAATGTATCACTAAATACAGTATAGTTGGTTCTACCTAATTTATTTAAAATACTAAGTATAGTGTCAGTGATTGTTCAAATCAGAACATTTCAAAATTCTCAGATGTTTCATCAAGTATTTTATGTTCTGACATCATTTCCTGTGACTTTTATTACCCCTCTTTTCTTGGCATTAATGGAGCCACAGTGACATACAGTGGTTGGACTGGTTAATCTCCATTGTTTGAACAATATAATATATTTCGAACGAGGGTGTTTTTTTTTAAATCAGATTTCCAGGTCTTGTTAAGAATAGAAAACTACGTTATAATTATTTGCAGTATTCTAAATCTCAAAACCATGTTATGTCAGCAAGAAGTCCATCTTTCATGTTAAGTAAAAATAAACTTTTAAATCTTACACATTTATACTGTATGTAACATACATGCAGTTCACATTTTGCCTTTTCCTCCCCAAGTCCAGGGTATGTTAACTCCGTTGATAAGGATTTTGGAAACAGTCAAGCAAACAGAGAAGAACCATTGTTTGGTACTGTAAATGACATGGTAAAGACTAGCCAAGATGCAGACTTCCAGCCAATTGCATCTTTGTTTGAAGAGGAAAATCAACCATTCCTGGCTTTTCCTCCTTCTCAGTCTTACTGTTCTTTTGCTAACGAAAGCCATACTGACCAGCTGTTCACAGATTTTGGTGATGCAGAAGGAATGCTCAGTAAACACAGCCTGTATGATAGTGACAAAATGCATCAGGCGACAAGTCCTGCTCGGAGAGGTGCAGCTGAGAGGGACCTCGCAAGTATCCTCACAGCTCCAGAGATGATTTGCTCCCTGAACAACCAAAGCTTAAATGCAGTAAACCAGAAGTCAGTTTGGAGTCAGTTCAAAGATTACGGTATCCAGGAAAGGAATCCTGTAGAGTTTTCTGATCGGCAAAAACTTACTATGTTCTTTAAAAATACAGGTAAATGCCTGCAATGCAAGTAACAAATATAATGAGAGGCTTTATGTTTAAGGAGTTGCATGATTTAATTAGCATTTTTAAAATTTTTGTTAATATGGGCATTTAACGTGCATGGACAAAGAGTTGCACATCACAGGGATGTCTTGCTGGGTTATATGGTAATTCATTGCACTAAGTTACAATATATTGCATTCAAATAATACCACCAGCAATAATAGCTATATTGTCTTTTGCATATTGTTTCCCAAACATGTAAATGGAAACTATTGATTAACCAGGGAAAAGAGAAGGTGCAGTTGGGTTGGATCTTGAAGATTCATCCTGGAGAAATGAATCTCTTTCTGTATCCCAAATAACAGCCTGCTTGTTCCATGACACTTGTAAGGAATGAAAACCAAACCATTCCTTTTATGGTTTGGTTCTCATTCTTCATTATGTGATATGGGAGGATCTTATCTTTAAAATGTATTGACTCTCTCAGTATACACGTAGCGTTTGTCAGATGTGAAAGCAGAATCAAAAACACACATAACCTCCTTATTATGGAGGAAGTAACTGATCAATTGGTTGCATGTTAAATTCAATTACTGAGATATGTTTTGATCCATTGGTGATCATAAACATGAAAATTTCTGTAGAAATGGGGGGAGGTTCCCTTTTAATTTTAGTAGGGGGACAGAGTAACTGAAATTAATGGAGAAATTGCTGAAGGAGGAAAAATGCACTATTGAATTATGACCCATGTTTTCTTTTTAATGTTGTCATGTAAACTTACTTTTAAGACTTTTTATCTGCAGGAGGTTTTAAAAATCAAAAGAAATATATTAAAGTACCAAAAACTATACAGCATTACGTAAGGAATAGGTGAGTTGTTTTTTAAAAGTTTCATTCACATAAAAAATGACATTATGGTATTTACTATCTGCTATGGGGACTTTCCCCATAGTTTGCGAGAAACTAAGCATGTGCACAGACTGTCTTCCAAGAATATTGTTGCTTTTTTTCCAGCCAAGGACAAACTTCAAAATAGTGTTGAACTACTACAGCCTAGTCTTTATTTTCATAGGCCATCTTTCCATGATTAGTGGCTTAATCTAGTCAGCCACTAACCTAATCAAATGTCTGGCAAGACACAGTTGGATAACTAGATTTAAAAAAAAATCACAATTTGGGGAATACAGAAACCCCATCTATTTTATTCAGGAAGTGTCTGATGTCCATGAACCTTTGCACCATGCTTGAAAATAAAAGTTTATGATAGTCATGGATAACATTAATGGACATTTATTTATTACTATTAACAAGAGTTGCAGACACAATGTTTGGCAGATTATATTCCAAGAGTCACGTTAGTGAGATGGGCGGCTATATATACAGTATTTGATTCAATAAACCAATATCCTACAATCTGTCATACAGAATGCTAAGGAAAATAACTCAGCTGCAGCCTGCCAGTCAGCAAGAATGCACTATGCCCTTGGGTGGTGCAGTGTAAGCATTTTAAGGTGATATAGGAATTTCTATAGACAGAAAAATATAAAATAACAGGATTCTGTTCTCCAACAAGCTGCCATTCAGCACAGTGGGCCAGGAAGGTTGAGTGCATAAATAAGTACAATAAATAAGCTGAATAAGCTATCTACCATTGATTGGTCTGGATCTTACAGGTTCTCTTTCTTTTCCGTCTGAGATCATGCCCTTTCTTCACAGATTACGGGGAACATGCCAGATGTTAATCTTCCCTTCCCTTTTTCCCCCCAGTAATCTTGTGGAAGAAGCTGGGTTGAGAGAATGATTGGCTGAGAGTCACATCAGCTTTCTAACAGCTTCCCTTCTCTTAGCTGTCTTATCATTATGCTATTCTGGCTCTTCAGTTCTGGTAGCCAGTTCAGTTTTTTATGTCCCCAGGAGCCACTAGGTGACTAGCTTTGACTAGCTGCAGTCAAAGTGATCAGCAAGAGTTCTACAGTCAACCGTTAGCAGCTTGCTTATTAGAAAAAATGACAAAAACTGAGGAGACTTATCTGTGATAGCAATTAGTTACTGGCGCGTGTTATGCAAGAAAACGGTCTAACTCAGCGCCGAAGGATCTCGTTTTCCAAGGCGACTCTGCGGTCATTGTGCAATTGGCCTGGAGGATGCGCACGGAATCACAAGACGTCAGAGCCCAAGCAGGGGACTGGGATGATACTCACTAACATGCTTACATTAGGGGCAACATTGGGCCTTCTGGTGGAACAACATTTCCCCAATGTTCTTTCATCCAATGTGAAAGATGATAGTGTTGCCTTGAGTGTAAGAAATGAGAATGGACTTGGCAATTGTAAGCAAATACATTTTTGTGTACTAGATCAGTGCCAGTGCCTAGGTATTTATCTCAGAATTAAAACTGTGTTTGTTGTTCTATATTTTATACTGTAAATTATTCTTCTGATATATTAGAATAAGTTCCTACCATTAAATTTTCATAGGTGTCAGATACTTAGTGAATACTAATGAGGTGAGTTTGCTAAGAACAATTACTGCACTGGTCTTCAATAATTTACTTAAGTTTACCTAAACGATAGTGTACTGTAACATTGATAATATTCATTTTAACTTGGTGAATAGAGGTGTCAGCCTGGCTTATTCTTTCTCATTGTATTTTGCGGCAGGGACGAAGGACAGGCAGACCCAAATATGAATTACTTGAAGATTTTTGAGCATGAAGCGGTAAAATTTTATATAAGTTGTTCAAAGTCGCCTGTATCTTAGCTGGTACAATTTCATGGCTGCTTGTAATTTGATAGGGACATAAACCTTTTGCCCTCTTGTGTGGAAACATGACAGATCAGTCTACTAAGCATTCCAAAGCAGGAACAATATGAGAAGAAGTGGGCTGTTCCAGAGAGTTTGGTGATATCCTCTGAATTCCTAAATCTTAAAATGATTGTTGTTGAGATAGCAGACAGACCTATCTGAACATTATATTTTTAAGAATAATTTTCTAGAAATATTTCTAGTCAACAATATGAGATTTTAAAAAAACATATTTTTATTCTTGTTTCATGCATTTCATATAGTGAGAGGCAGTTTAATGTAGTGGTTAAGGCACCAGGCTAGAAACCGGGAGACGGTGAGTCCTAGTCCCACCTTAGGCACAAAGCCAGCTGGGTGATCTTGGGCCAGTCCCTCTCTCTCAGCCCTAGGAAGAAGGAGGCCAGGGCAAATCACTTCCAAAAATCTTGCCAAGAAAATTACAGCGACTAGTCCAGGCAGTCACCAAGAGTCAAGACTGACTTGAAGGCACAAGAAGTAAGTAAATAAGTCAATTCATTATGTGTTTGCCATATAGCTGTCCTGCAAGCCAGCTTCATTCATCCTTCCCCTTTCCTTTAGGAAAACATAAATAGTGAGTGAAGTCCCAGGGAGTCCCACTTCCACTTCCAGCACTTTGATGTGACAAGACCCCAGAGAGGACAGTCTTTATAGGCTGGAGGGAAAGGATCGCTTAGCCAAATTTGGTTCATAGATTGAAGCAGGGATGGGGAATTTGACTATTTGTCCAGATGTAGCACATTCACAACTTCAAAGGAGCCTCATTTGGCATGGCCAGTGGTGAGAGATTCTAAAAGCTGTAATTCAGCAGTTTCTAGGGGATCACATATTCAGTAAAATAATATTAGTGAAATCTCAGTAAGTTTGTGTAATGTAAGTGGGACAGTGATGGAACAAATTCTGTGAGCAGAACATAGCATGTTTAGCTTCAGTAAAACATCAGAAACGGCCAGCTACATTTAAATATTCTCAGTTGCAAATAATTTATACAGTTCATATAATTCAGCTTCTCTTGAGTTAACATGAACTGAACTTCTAATTTTTAAGCAGAATCGAAGTACGTGACCAGTTTTTAGACTTTCTAATTCCTTTTACAAACTGAATGTGATAGTGATAGAAAAGATCAGAGAAAGACAGACCATCGTGAAAAAAAAAAAGAACTGGGGAAAGGCAAATCAATATTGTGCCTCCAGTCATGCCATAAAAATGAAGGGAGGGTATTGTATCCTAGGCATATTATGCAGTCATAAAATTACCCATCCATTTATTTATACTGAAAGTTCTGTTATTCTTCCTGTTGTAAATGAGGTAAGGTGAGAACAAAAGCTCAGAATGGTAGAATCTCTGGACAAAAGTTGCAAGAGCTAGAAAGTTATTGACAGAATGTGGAACAGAGTTTAACAGAGAAGATCCTTTGCTAGGATAACCATTTCTTGACTATAAAATCTCTGCTGGATTTGTGTGAGAAAATATATTGCCCTAGGCTTCATAATGCGTGTGTGTAACTTGCCCCTCTTGGCTGATTAAATAGGCCAGGTTGGCCCTGGATTAGGGGAGATTATCCTTGCCTCCTTACAGGGAAGATGTGTTTTCCCCTGTCTAAAAGAGGCTGTAGTAAGATATTTACTGAAGAAAGAGCCTGCGTTGCTCCCAGGCTATGGAACGCTCCCCATCAGGAGTGGCATTTGACTTCCACCCTCTTGGTGTTTAGAGAACATATGAAGATGTATCTTTTCTGCCAGACTTTTAAATGTTAGATACTATTAATAATTATGACATTGCTTACTTTAAAGGTTTTAAAATTAATTTAAAATGAATTTTTATATTCTTTTTTTATTTTACATTTTGTTAAATTGCTAGAACAGAAAGGCTGAGTTATACAAAATAAATAACCTCCAGGCTGATTTGCTTGCAGAGCATATGAGCAGTCAGCAGCTATGTAGCAGATGTCAAACAATCTGCCCTTCGCATGATGAAAGATCATTTGTATAATAAGCATAAAAGACATGGTTGCTGTTTCTTTCTCACCATATGGGGCAATCACAAGGACCCATTCTTTTCTTCAGTAAGGCTTTAATCCTAAACCAAGGAGGAAAGAAACTTGGGTTCTCTCAATGGAATCATTGTGTAGTGTGGCAATTCTATTAGTGAAGACATCAGAAAATGTACTCTCGCAATAGAATTTATCAAAGGTACAGTGGAACCAATTCATTGCAGAGACAAAGCATCTCCTGGCAATCTTTCCTTGATGTAAGGAAAGAATTAGTTCCATGTCATGTTGTAAACAATAGGACATTTTTTGAACAAGTTATTAATACCATGATGCCAAGTCCTAGAAGAGAATCTAAAGAAAAGTAGCTGTGGTGAAGTTATACTAATATCATTCTTAATTTTTTTTGAGCTGGAGAAGGAAGTTTACAGTGACTTTGATCAGCATCCAAAGCAAAGAAGGCAAAACGGTTAGCTTTAATTTGAAATTCATTGTCTTAACTACCTTTTCATCTAGACACCCTAGTTGTCTTAAATGGTTTCAGATTTAATGATGAAGAAAAACAGAAGCCCTCTGTTCTTTGACCCTAACAAGAATGGAAATGTCTAACATGAACTGTAGTGTACTTCTAACTCACCTTAAGGAATTATACAGAGATTAACCATTTCATATATTCATTGTTTCCTTGTTAACATTTCATGATTTCATAATATTCATACTTGGCCTTACAGAAGTATGGACAGGTTTGCAGCCTCCCTTTGCCTGATCACTGTTTTCAATAGAGTCAGAAATATGAATTTATTTTCTTGCACACCTGTGACCTATAATGACTAGGCGTGACATTAACAAAGTAGTGAACCAAGTAGAACCCATATACATACATATTATTATCATCTTGTAATCCCTACAACAAAGTTGTTTTTTAGAACTAAGGCAAAATGCTGGCCAATCATTCTGACAATATAATTCCAATTATACCACAGATCAGGACTGCACAAAAATGTTGGGCTGCCTTTACTTTCCTATGCCAAAGACAAGCAACATTTGGTTACCAGGGGCTGAGGTCTACAAGGCTGTGAAGCAGGGATATCACCAAAAGAGTTGGGGTTGGGACCCCCAGGATTTGGAGACATTTGGGAGAGGCTGGGAAGAGCTGATATACGAGGAGCCATTCCTTTTAAATGCTTGTTGTGGTTTCCCAGGGCTATAGGAGCCATGGTTATCTGTTGTTTTCTGCTAAAGAAGGACCAGAGTCTTACATTTTCTAGTAATCTTGCACTATAGCACACCATTAGAAAAGCAGAGCTTGCATCTCCTGAATAAGCATTTTGCCTGAGAAGGAACATCTACTCCAGAGTTTCTCAACCTTGGCAACTTTAAGACGTGTGGACTTCAACTCCCAGAATTCCCCA